TTTTGATATTAAATTTTTTAGAAAATTTTTAAAAAAACACATTTTCATAATTTATAAATTGTTCCATAAAACATTTTCTCACTTATCACGAAAAAAAAAAATCTTTAGAGAAAAGATACTTGACCAATTTCCTACAAATAGCATTTCTGCAAGCGAAAGTTACTTTATTCCCTTTTTTTTCTTCCTATAGAATTACTTAGGTTAGACAATCTTCACTGATGAATAGAGCATGTCAGATAAGAAAATGCCTCGAACCAAATATCGTACTAAATTCCCAAAAGTCCCGTTTATCCTATACCCAAACCGTGACAGTAGGAGGAATTTTTGTAGAGAAAAATCTAATTCTTTAACTTAAAGCAATAGATGCTGAGACTTGGTTTATACATTAAGGATAAATTTTAAGTGCAATATATTTCTGTGATGTTATAGGTCTATCGTAAATAGTGATCATAGTTCTTTAAAATACTCCCTCCTGTGAATCATTATCAAAAACTGCTATACTTTAAAAGAATTCATCTATTTACTATAGAAGATAGACCCATCCATTTATAAATATTGCACTTATACTAAATGATCTCTTGTAACTTTTGTGCTTCTTAAATTCAATTTTTATGCGTTTTATATAAAAAAAATATATAAATATATATAATAAAGATTTTGTGTTCATTTAGGTCTGAATTTTTTCAACTTTTAACAATAAATTACAACAAAATTGTGAAGTTCTTACACCTCCTTGTTACAAAGTGATAAAAGTTGCGCTCTTGAACTATTAAAAAATATATAAAAACATGTATATTAAATTATAAACTAGAGGATTCATTTTAGTTATTTTTTTACAATATAAAAATATCTTAGAATTATTATAAAAATGGAAATTTGAGTTAGAAGTAATCGATAAGCAGCTGATGTAAATTCCTCTCCTTTAACAGACCGCAATAAACGACAAAGTGCTAATAGTCCTGTAGATTATTCGAAATGTCTTGGAACAATCGTAAATCACCTTCTTGAAATGGCGGGAGGTAAGCTGCTGTGAGAAAAATAGATTGATGGATGATATTAAAACCAATATGACAGACTGTCCTGACATGTGGGCTGCGTTAAAGCCTGAGAAACAATAGATGTCAGTAATTGGACGAACAATAGGAGCATAATACTTCTTGACAACTTTCATTAGAAGTTATTCGATAAAAACCAAATATCTGTTATAATGTTTCATCATTTTTTAAAATTAAAATCCGTTCCTCTTTAATGGTTTGTTTGTGGTATGCTTCAATGTACTGATGCTTTAAATAATTATCGATTATTTGTACATGTGTATTATTCATTTATCGACGTATTAAGATGTAAGAAAAATTAAATTTGTAAAGATGGTTATCTAAATTGTAGACTATTTTGCAGGCTTCTCATTTCTTCCTCGATAATTATTGTGTCAAGGTTATAACATTGTCTAATATAGAACTTAATTACAACATCACATAACTCGCGATAGATAAGTTGTAAAAAAGATTAAGAAAATAAGTTTAAAAGATTTTTTTTCGTATACTAAATCTTAAAAAATTATCTTAAAACTTTCTTAGTTTTTAATTTTTATATAAATACATATTACTTGGGCATCATTTTTCCTTCTTACCGCTTCTTATCCACGTAGAAAGTTGCTCCCGATACAATAAGATAATACTTGTAATTTAATTCAAGAATTATGTAAATTTAATAAATTTGTGCCTTATTAAATTACAGATTTTATTGTATTTAAATTAAAAGAAAAAGTATATATATATATAAAAACACACAAATCGCTGGCGTGTACGATCGTATTTTGTGGTCATACAACTTCACCAGATTGACCTGATGTCATTCGATCGATTTTAACGAAACTTGCCTTCGACAAATTGATGAACAAGCTACACGCTTCGACGTCAATAGGAAATTTATGCAGGAAGAAAAAAAGGAAAAAAAATTTTAAAAAAAGAGGGAAGGAAGAACAGAATCTTAGATGCAACGATGCGTAGTTAGAGCTGTTGAGAATCATCGAGTTGAGATGAATTTTTAACCTACGTCTAAGCTACATATATACAGGAAATAGCATATTATCGTGTCTTAAATGACGTCGACTAGTAAATGTTGCCAAGTAAAATTGTATACGAGTAGAGAAAATATTGAAATTTAACCATTTAGATTTTCCATTGACTTTCACAAATTCAATAGTTTAAACAATATTCGACAGATGGTTGATATGACACCGGAACCAATTCTAACCTAGTTCTATTGTGTCATTTCAGTTCAACTGTAGGAGTTTGGGGATGGATGGGGATATGCAGTGTGTCACACCAGCTGCTGTCTGCCGGTAAGACCTATCATTGGCTACTTTACCATATGCATCACTTGACAGCTGGAGATTCTGTGATTAGAACTCTAATCTGCGCATTATTCATAAATGTAGAAATAAATATTTAAAAAAATATACATATTAATTTTAAAAAAAAATACATATGATACTTTCATTATATTAAATAATTTATACAAAGATGATATATTATATATTGTAATTTTGAACACATGTATGGGGTGTTTGTACTGTGTGTAATGTTATATTTATGGAGTTTTCTATTGTTTAGTACTTGCTCTAGGATTTTTAAAGTGTGATTTATCATAAAAATGTGATTAATTATAACAGTTCATGTTGTGTAAAGATACAAAAATCATACTTTAAGTAGGATTTTTAATATTTTAAACATGAATGGTGTATGTATACATGCACTATACATTCAAACATTTATAATCACTCATAAATTAAAAAATTTTAATCTATAGTTATAAATATAATAAAATTATTTAAATATTAAACTATAAAAAGTAATAAAATACAATTAGCACATAATTAAATAATAACTTTTTCTATGAAAATATAAATATTACATACTTTTCATCACTTTATAGATAAATAACAAACATCAAATAAAATCAATATAATGAAATTAAACTATAAAAATAATCGTCGTTAATCATTTTGATGATAATTTTCTCACATAAAGAATTAATTTTATAAACTGAAAGTATATTTTATGGCATTATAAATGTCATAAATAAGATTTATATATTCATTATTTATTCCAACTATAAGGAAATGCCCAGTTCAATTAATTTAAATTCATTACTTTATATGAATAACTGAAGGATGAATATTGTTAAATATGAATAATCTATTAATATACTCGTTTAAAAAATTTAAATTAAAAATATTATATTTAAATATCTATCAAAATAAATCTTTAAAAAATTATAGGTGTTGATNATAAAATTTTTATATAAATTTATTCTATTCATAAACTATACAAAATATTATTTATTAAAAAAAATATTCAACTTTAAGACCTACTTGAGAATGTAAGAAATCTATATATGTTTACTATACGAGGTCATAAATAAAGAAGAAGCGCAAGTATATAAAACACACAATATATAAAAACATATATATATATATATAATATATATAAGAATGAATAGAAGACAAAAGAAATCCTATATCATATAACTAGAAAGAGAAAAGTCTATAAGCTTGAGCACACACCCATAGCCATAGACTGTAGCATTTATAGGAGGTTATTTTTTCAGGGTGACCACCACAATTCCGTCAATCCTTTTAGATGCTTTGAAAGCCAGCGTGACAACTATTTCGCTCAAAATTAAACTCCCAATGATTTTCCAGCAGGGATACTTCCTCTAGAGATATCGATACTATAAAACTTTGTGTCGTATCGACTATCAAGAGAGGAACAACATTGCAACACTTTTGTGTCATAAACTGCGAGTCTTTATTGGATTACTTATATAGTTTTCTTTTTTCTTTCCAGACTTTTATTGCATACAAGTTGTACTTAATGTTTTTGGAAACGAGCTGTAAAAAATTGAAGGTTTAGACTCTTAATTTGTTGGCAAAAAAGAAAAGAAATTCTCTTGGAATTGCACCAATATCGTTAAGAAATACATCTCTTGGCAAAGTTTTCTATCATTCTAATCACTTAATTTATCGCACTTTAATTTATTATATTTAAATAATTTAAATATTGGATAAGGGGCATTCAGGTGCCAACAATTCTTAGAAAGGGGTTGCTAAATTTTACTTACGAAATTTAGTTACGTAAATAGAAAATGTAAACAATCTTCTACATTATTATTTCTTTTAATACAGATTAATGACATTTTCAATTATAACACACGTTCATTCGTGCGAATAAAACTTAATAAGCAATTAATTTACAACTAAAACTTGCTTTTATATATTTAATTTATACACAGAGGAATATTTAACTTTAACTGATATTTTCCTTACTTTAAATTTTAATAAGCTTTCGTAAATTCATTTGTTTACTGTAGCTTAATACTGATGTAATCATATTACGTAACATATATTATTCTCTTTCATAATTTATTATAATTTTCTTAGATTTAATTAAAAAATAATTGTAAGTCAATGAATTATTAAGATATTTAATTAAAGATTTTTTGAGGTAATTAATTAATTATTATTTTAATTTAGAGTTCAAATATACATATATGCAACTATAGTTATTAGCTAATTAACTGTCTTTAATGACTTTATTTGAAATTAAAATATAGAAATAGTTATAATATTTTTATAATAATCTTTAAAGCTATTTACTAGAATTATATATAACGATAATTATATGATAATTAATTATAGTTTGTGTGTAAAGGAATCATATTTATATATAATAATGGTTGTAAGATAATTAACAATCTTTAATTACCGACTTTATGTGAAGATAAAGTATATAAGATACTATAAATAGATCCACAATTGTATGTTGATTAATTATTTACCGTTGTAATTTTGAGTTAGAGTATATACAAGAGCTGTCATTCATCTAACGGTACAATACATAAAACATTTATTTTCTTTTATTCTATTCTATTACCATTATGTATATGAATTATATATATGTATATATATTAATCGGTACATAATAACAGCTACTTACATTGAATAAACAGCAGAGTAATGGCAGCAAACAAAACGTATTTTCTATGTTGAAACATCGATAATTCTGTTGTCGCTATTGCTAGTTAGTTCGCAAACACCTGGACTTCTAACTTAACTGAGCCAACGTGAGCCCGTCCAATCACCTGAATACCCAACATCCCATACTGAGCCCGACAACCAGATGACGTCGAGGCTAGGCACGTGCTTGCCAGCTGTCTCCGTCCGACGTCACGTGTCACGTGAAGAGTCAGTAACCACAGCGCCACCTACTGACGTGACAGAAAAATGTTAGGAGAGCCGGCAGGTTACAGTTGTTGGTTGGCAGGATTAGTGTGAGGCCAGAGTATAGTAAAAGGCGGACTATACGAATGATGGTGGAAGCGAGTTAAATGAGGAAGGGGCTATGTTGCGTTGCAAATTGTCCTGTTTGCTTCTCTGCATCTATATCCTGATCGCTTGCATTTCTGAAGTTAAAGGTGAGTGAAAAATCCGTAAAAATCTTTTCGCACACTTAAAATTGATGAATACTCTTGATGGTCATCTCGAAAGTGACAATGAGATGGTGTTCTCTCTCTGTATGTTTTATTTTTGGCACTTTGCCTACTTTTTTCTATAAATAACCAGTCAATTCATACTTAGAAAATAGTCAGTTTCTTCGGTTCGAAACAGAGTCATTGACTTAATAAACTCCCAACACATCTTACATCATCCCAATTGATCCACATAAGATAGTGGATTTTAACTTATGATGATTGCAGACGTTAAAAGCTATCTTTGTACCTTTTTTTCCTATCACCATTGGTCCAAGTTTTATTGAAAAGTCGTCTTTTGACATGTTGATATAGGAGTTTTCTGCCTCAATTGTATAATGGAAACCAATATTTTCTTATCTTCACCTTAGAGTCGCATATCTAGTCTATTCATAGGATCACATTCATTTGGACGAACGACATTGATTCGTATAAAAATTCTATTTTTGCTTTAGAGAGAGAGAGAGAGAGAGAGGAAGAGAGTTGACTTTGCAGAATTGAAGACATAAAGTACTGAGTTGTAAAATAAAAAAAAAAAGAAATGTGTGTGTGATTTACTTCATTTTTTCTCTCAATTACATATGAATTTATACGCTATAACATTACTTTTTTCCACTGGAAGATAAAGTTAAAAATAAAAAAAAATAGTTTAAAATATAACCGTGTGAAGAAGAGAGGATGTAGAGAAGAAGAAAAAAACGATGCAATCGAAACGTTGATATTTTATTCTACTTTTACTAGAAGGAAATGTTGTCAAAAGACAATGTTGTGTAATAACAGTGAGCAAAAGAAAATATTTGAATCAGTGACCCAGTAAAAAGGTCATTATAAGAAGGGAGGGTGGGTTATTCTTTGTTGCATTCAACTGTTTCAGATGCCATCAATCCGTAACCAATCCGTTTTTTTCTTGTTTTGTTTTGTTTTATTCCAAGTTCAAACAGAAAATACAATATGGCCAAACTAAAATGAATATAAATCATTTATTAGATGGTTCCTAGTATCTTAATTTATTTTAGGATAATCTAATTAAATTATTAATACAAATGCAATTAAAAAAGTAATCAACATTAATCAAAATTATGGTTTAAGTATTTTAACACGATAAGACAGATTTTATTAATTTAAAAATTAAAAATAATGTAATTTTATTTTCAATTTTATAATATAGAAATAAGATATTTTAAATTATTTAAAAATCAAGAGAGAAAATATTTTTATATAAAAAAGTATTATGAGGAATTATTATAAATTTATATTTATTTTATTCTTTTAGAAAACTTTTTTCTGTCTTTAAAAAAGGTTTTAAAATTTTATAAATAGAATCAATAATGTTAACTTCCTATTAATATAGCATAAAAATTATTTTTAATTAAAAAAAATGAAGTTCAATATTCTTAATTGCTTAAAAAATTAATAAAAAATGATTTATAAAATAAACAATAATTTTATATCCTGTATCAGTTAAAATAATTAAAACATTTTACTCTATTGAAAAATTGCTCTATAAAATACATTTCCTTATCTGAAAATTAGGATTATATCCTTGAATAATTCATCCACAAACCTATACTTAACAATAGAATTGTTATTTCAAATAGTTCCTGTTTGTTATTTATTTAATTTTTAATAAATTATAAACATGAAGTCAACTATTTATTAATTTATTTTTAAATCTATGTTAAAATTTGCTATTTTAATTACTTATTTGGCCTTAAAACGTTCTTAATTCAATACAATTAACATTATAAAACTTTAAAATCTATCTTTATTATCTTGATTATCTCATTCTTATAAGACTTATAACCTTAACTATGATCTTAAACACAATTAAAATAGTATAAAGCAGCTTAAATTGCTAAAATTTGTTATTAAAAAACATTAAATTACTTAAATTTTTCAAAATATCTTTAACACCTAAAACCTTATCCATGATTACAAGGTATATATGCGTAATAAACTGTTACAATCTTGAAATCAAAGTATTTCCAGCATTTTAAGAACAGTAAATTTAAATTATAAAATGGTTTTAATTATGGATCAAGCATTGGTGCTGTCTAAATTCAAGTAATTTGAATAGGATTCCCTATCTATAATATGAATCAAGAAATTCTGATAGCTTTATTTGTACACATTTTACTTGCAGTTGGTTGATATTGCTTACAAAGACTACTGAGAAATCCAAGCGGAATTAATTACAAGATTAAGGAAGTAAAGATAAGACAAAGAGGAAAGATGAAATTTGTTTACACACTTTATTGAGATGTTCTAAGTTTATCTCAGAGTTTGTTTGATTGTCTTGTTATTTTTATATAAAGCTAGAATCAATACTAAATTAAAAACTGTTATTTTAACAGATATTTATTTAATTTTAAAGCATTTAAAATTGTTTTCAAGCCAAAAGAAAAATGAAAATTTTCATGCTGAAAATATTGATATTAGGAAAAAATAAATAAATAAATAAATATTTTCTAAATAAAAGTTATTGAACTTTTTTAAAATTTTGTAAAGTAATGTTGCTTCTTATTTTTGTTTCTTTGTAAAAACATAAAAATAAAACTTTCTTGTTATACCAAAACAAAAAGAACCCTTTCATAAAATCAATATTATTTTATTTTTATAGAAATAAATTTTTGTATAATTTTTTCTTTTAAATTGTTCCATTTTATTCTTTTTTTTTACTTTATTTAAGTCAGGATAATTTTACTTAATATTTTTAACAAATACGTTTAAATCTCATATGTAGTGTATATTGTATCTTATAATTAATTTTCCCCCTTCATATTATAAATATAACATTTGTAAGTGATATTAATAAATATTGATTTTATTAAAGAAAAAAATGAAGTATACAAAATAATGAAAAGAAAAATATTTATTTTATAATACAATATTAAAAAGAATGAAATGTATTGACTAGAAAATTATTGTTGTTACCTTCTGGTAAATTCTAGAAAATTTAATAATATTAAAAACTAAATTTCGATAGGATTTCTGTATAGGATAAGTTCTAGATATTGTAGAAAGATTCACTATGATTGTAAAGATAGCAAAACATAATCTATATGTTCATTCCCTTTAATATATTTTTCTACAGCTGTTCTAAATTTAAATTAGTTCTTAATATATGTTTTTATCAAAAACTGTTAATAAATGAGTAATTATTTTTTAAGATTAGATACTTCATTTTTACGTCTCCATTGTAAATTTTCATCAAAATTATTGTTTAAAATCTGAAAAAATAATTCTAAATGGCAACTAACATTCTACCTATTTGAATTAATTTAATATTGTCTTGACTTTAGTACATCAAAGTAAAGGAAATTAAGTTGTGGAGCCATCAAAGATATCAGAAATATGTATATTTATAGATGTTTCTGACATCATTGTTATCATTCTAGTATTATTAATGACTCCAAAACTTAATTTCCTTATTTTTGAAGTATTAAAATTAAATATTAAACTTATTTAAATAAATATAACAACAGCTACCGTTTAGAATTACTTTTTCATCATGGCAGAAATGATTTCAACGAAGATTTCCAATGAAAAATCACAAATGACACATCAAATCTTCGGAAATAATTACTCATCTCTCTATTAGGAACTGTTAAGAACTGTTTTAAATTTAGAAGCTATGGATAAAAGAAATATGAAAATTTTATACGATCAAAAATTAAATTATTCATGACGACTGAAGGATAGAAGTTATTAAAAAGTATGTAACTTATATATAGAAGAGAGAATGTTGGAACTAAAAAAATCAATTCAACATCGATTCAAGAAGAGCTGAAATGTTTAAGAAGCGTGTAATATATATTTTGACAAAATTTTGTATAATTTAATAAACGTAAAATAATTTAAATACGATAAAAATCCAATATGTATGTACGAGGTATGTATGTGTTAAATATAGTACTGCATTTATTAAAATATCAAAGTATAAAAATATATAAAGGAATGATGTAAGAATATTTTGCGGCCAAAAAATGGAAGACAATGCGAATTTAAATAAGAATTTTTAATTAAAAACTGAATTTTAAAAGTGTTTTTAACAGTGGAATTTCTATTACAGTTGTTCTTTTTTGAGGGGTGAAGTAATTTTCATTCAAGATGCTTTTTATTGTAACGTGTTAAGAATCGCCTTCTTCTTCAACAAAAATTATAATATTTATAAATTTCCTTATGCAAAGTAGTTTTTTATGAGGTTTTAAGTGAGTTAGAACGTTTCAAATTTTTTTTATCATTATAAAAATGATAGAGACGTGACAAGTTGTGTTAAGGTTAAGACAAATGATAACTTACTCACAGGATCATTCATATACAAAGTTATAGAAAGTAAGCAATTTATATGATTAAAACTCTAAAAACCACTTACAAAAGAGGGAGAAATTGAATTGAAAAGTAATATTTTAGAATTGATCAATTTTTAAATGGTTAAAGTTTAAAAAAAATTAAATAAAAAATATATAACTTAAACGTCAGCTTTAACAGCGTGATACATAAAATAAATGAGTTTTTAAGTTACGATTTGAACGTGATATCGGATAGATAATATCAAAATTGATACACTAAAGAAAACTGATTTTACTCGCAGCTATAAAATCGATCAAGGAGATTTAACAAAATAAGTTTAGAATTTAAGAGTGATTTATTAATATGGATGCTTTGTAAAAATATCCAACTAGTAGGTCACGATCTACCTGAAGATGCGAGCTGTATTGATAAATAATGCATGAATTTTGTATATTCTGAACGATTGATAAGCATGTTTTTTCTATTTTAATTGTAAATATAATTATTATTAAATTAATAATGATTTATTGGATATTTCAATAGTAGAATAAACTAATTAAATGAATTTTAGGAAAGTTTTCTTACAAAATGCCTTCACTTTTAATGCACATGGTTTAAACATATCGCAAATCTTTAAATTTTCTTTAGTATAA